GGAGGGGTGGGGAGAAGGTGTTTTAAGATCTGGTTTTATCTTCTCACTACGCTACTCTGATTTGATTGGTAATAAATTAATTTCCCGAAGTTGAGTCTGTTTTGCCCATGACGGTAACTGGTCAGTGATCTCCCCCTGTCCTTATCTCAACCCACGACCCTTTTGTTATGTTTTCTCTCCACTGTCCAGCTGAGGCGGGGAGTGATAGAGCGGCTTCCAGCTGAGGATGGGGAGTGATAGAGCAGCTTCGGTGGGCACCTGGCATCCAGCCAGGGTCAACCCACCACAGAGATGATGGCTTTAGACTACATTGTGAGCTATAATCTCCAGGCACTGACTGATACCATCAAAAACAGCTGAGAGAGACACACAAGATATGCTTCCTTTGTTTAAAAGAAGAACAAGAAGGTATTTTCTCAAAGCACATTAAGCGTTAGCATGCTTCCTCCTTTGGCTCAATAGAGCATGAATTTGTTACCTTTCAGAGTACACCTTTTTAGGAGAGAATTTTATAAAGAGGAAAGATGAAGAATGTGCAAAAGCTAAGCCTTATGTGGGGAACCATAATTTTGTATGGCTAACTGAATTTACAATTGGTATTTCTACTTTCCTATTTCCATGGTTGCAAAAACACTTTAGGTTAGAAATTCATCCTACAAATTAATGTGACGTTTAGACAGTGAGATGCTCATCCTGATTAAATATTTTATATGACACCAGAAAAAGTTCAATACATTTTCTTGCACTGTTTTTAGTGGGTTTTGTTTAAAAAAATAAAATGTATGTAAAACTACAACAGACAGTATATATCTAAAATGTAATGTGCATGTAACTTACGTGACCACCTACTGCCAGATACCTCCTATAGCAAAAACGGGAGTGAAGGGATTAGTACAGCAACTTTCCAAGCTCCTTTCTGTGACATCCCTTTCTTTTTCCTGTCTTTCTGATCAGTAGTTCAGCAGCTCAGCACTCAGACATTCTCGAGTACAAACACCATGCTGAACATGAGTTTGGAGCTAAGCAGATGGGTGGGTACAGCTCTCCTGCTGCAGCGATAGGGCCCACAAGGAGAGGAAGTGAAATCACCCCATCACTTCTGGAGAACATTTTCTTGGAGGAGCTCTACTTGGCAGTGCCATTCTGGCTCAGTTAGCTGGCAATGCTCTGCACAATGCAACCTGTAAGTTTAGCTGATGGGTTATATATGCTAGAAGTCTATAAAATCATGAGTGGTATGGATGGGGTAAAATGACTGCAGTCCTTTGATGTGCCACAAAACTGACCAAAGGAAGGAAAACAGATTGCACTTTAAAAAAAAACAAAACAAGAAACCCAACCAAAACCTAAAGAATCCCCACACACACACTGCACGTCATCCTAAAGTGCACTACAAAATTAATAACATTTTGCAGCAACTGTTGTACACCAATGCCTTACAAATCCCTGGACATTTTCCAGTAACACTTCAACATCACTCAGACCATACTATCTACCTCATGAAGTCTCAACTTCATTGCAAACTAGTAGTTAATGAAACACTAAGCTGATGCATCTTTTCTAGTATTTTTTTCTATCTGATGTAACTGTCAAAACCAAACACACACATTTGTTTGTGAAGCAACTGGTTTTCTAACCTACAGCTAGGGAGGAGGAAGGAGTGGGAGTAAGCAGAAGCACAACACAAAGAGGGTATGAAAGCAACAAGCCAAAGAGGTTAAATGTCTGGCAGACAGCGGCTCCTTGTTTTGACCCACATAGCAGCCAACATTAAAAAGAAGAAGAAAAGAACAAAAACAAAAAAACAGTTTAAAATCCTCTTACAGTTGGTTATCGCACAGCGTGGTAGTTTCCCCAGCAGCACTCTTGGGGCAGCTGCTGGTAAACCTCTCCTCCACAGCAGTTTCAGTTCAGCTTTCTTACAGGAATTGGAGACTTCCCGACCCACACACGTCCCTACCAGAGCTTGTGACACACACGGGGCTCAGGCGGCTTCCCCAAGATCTCCACAGGCCACCACACTCTCTTTCACAGATAACGACTCCCAGCATTTGGAAGTAGAAGCAAAAATGCACTCTCATTCAGTATGGGTATGGCTGGGTAGCAGAAGACCTGTGCCGGAAGGGTTTTATTTCACAGGGGAACCTGTCAACATCCTAATGCTCTGATTCAGCCCTAGGATTAGTTCTAGAAACATAACTCTCTTGGTTTATTTTACTTTTTTTAAAATCTGTTGCAACAGCACCTTACACCTGCCTGTACTGCATGACTCTTCCACTGCAGACATCAGCTTCTGGACTTCTGACAGGGTCCACACTGAAGCAAGGTGGGAAAACAGGAGCAGAAGGTCTAACTAACACCACTTCATTACTCTTTGGCACAGCACTGACTCCAATGGAACATCACTCCGTGGACACTGTGTAAATATTAACTACTGCAAATGGGACTAACGTTCACAATAGCATGCAGCTATTTAAAAAAAACCCTAAACTGTTCATATTTAAGAAAAGCTAAAAAACCCTCCTCATTCTCATCCCATATTCTGAACATATCAAGTATCTTTAGTTGAAGCTAAATAAGAGCTAATTAAACTACTTCGGGATTCACAGTAACAAATGCTCCATAGCTTCTATTGCAATTCTGCTCTGAAGAATAAAATATAAATAGGAACAAGCAGAGGTTCATGTTTCTTGTGGGATAAGCCATCATTGCTACCTCTCCAACATCATTAGTATCTACGCACCAGTATCTGTGCTCACACTACCTAGCAGGAAAATGCTTTCTCTGTATTTCTAGACGAGCTCACTCACATTATTTTGACCTGACACCCAGAACGGTTCCAGACACCCACAGGGGAGGCAAGCGTGCCACCCATCGCTCTTTTCCTCCACGCTGCTGTTCTACAGTAGCATCTTACCTTTTTTCTTCTTTGGTTGTTCAAATTCTGGAGTCTCTGGTGATTCAGCGTAAGGGTCTGGGGCTTGGTGAACTTCCACCACCTCAGGGATCCCATCAAGTGTGACTGATACGTGTGTAATAGGAGCCACCATATCATCATCTTCACTTGCGCCAAACATAGTTGCTTAAGGGAAAGGGACAATTGGAATATTTTCACACAGCCACAAGGACTTTTAAAAGGTATTTTTTTTTTACAGAAAAATTTAAACATAGAATAAAATAAAACTGTGATGCTTAAGGTCTTCAAGGGAGAGAAGACTAGTTAATAATGGAATATATGCACCGGCAACATTTTACACAAGCAGAAGCACTATTAAAATTGAACAATTTAATGATATAACCCACTCCCCCAAAAAGCACAATTATTTATTGATCACACACTTTTATTTATATTTAAGGCAATCTGCAGATGTAAGTGTATATTCTTTTATCTTGGCAACATAAACAGACTAATCCTCCATCAGCCAAATAAAACACTGCAACCTAAACCACCTGACTTCATTCACACCTTCCCTCTGTAATTTTTGATTCTTTCCTTACCTGTTCAACTCTGTCATGGCAAGGAAATTCTTCATTGTATACAACACTGGATTTCTGATAACCAAACTATGTACGTAAAGGCTACCTGGATGCAAAATAGTCTTAGCAATTCTATGCATCCATGCTGCACCAAATCCCTCTTTCTTTCACAAATAAACAAGGCAAATACAGATTGGATTTGCTTTCATAAAAAACTTACTTATTCTTTTTTCATCCAACATAGGACCAGGGGAGTCCATATTAAGAAGTGCTTCAGCAGCTTCGATTGTTTCCATTGTTTCATCTCCATTATGACAAGATGCTTCAACTAAAAGCAAGAGAGAAAAATTAACTCTTAACAAGCTTAACATATTTATTCCTATTTCATTTCTAGGGGAAAAAAAAAGTGGTAAATAGGGTCTTCTACTAGGTGAGTAGTAACAGGTTAGCTGGGGAGAAAACGCACACTGCAATCATTTGATTTATTTAATACACTACATTTTTCAGATTGTATGTATTAAAAAAAAAAACCAAAACACCACAAACCCTTTGTTTCTGCTTCATCTTTCCAACCCCTGCCTTTGCTGATCAGGCACATGCAGTAAAACACAACACCCATGAACCCTAAGAAATATCACTACCACAAACAATATTCCAGACAGTATTCTTTAAAAAAAACCAGTATTACTAATTTATTCTTATGGTGGTCCAAAGGAAGTATATTCCATAATTGAGAGATCCTAACCAAAAAATATCCTGTCATTTAGCCTGGAGGATAGACAAGAAAATATTCCACAAATTCTATTAGACAGCATACAACCTACAGGTGTAACTGAATCCTAAACCATTCAAATCCATGGGGACCACAGGTAGGGGTAACAGTGCAGACTCCAGGAACAAACATAAACCAAAAAAAAATAGAGAGGGCTGGCAAACTTTTGAAAAATTTTGACCACTAGACAATCCCTCATCAATCTCATTAAGGGTGGTCATTAGACAAATCCAAAGCTCTTCAGCATTGATTTATAATGAAGGTCATCTAAAGCTACACACCAAAAAAAATCCAGTAATACATCATTTTGCAAAATAACAGCTGTCGAAGAAGATAACATTGGTTTGACTGGAGGAGTACCTTACCAGAGAATTTTTTTCAAAATAATTGTAGCATGACAAAAAAGTTAGATTTCAGTTCTAGTAGCTGGTACCATAAACTTTTAGAACTGTTGAACGCATTCTTTTAGAAATTACTCTTTGTTGGATGGAAATGCACGGGCCAGGCTTCCTTACCCTTTGACACGAATTTGAAGCTACGCTGGGGAATTCACTTGCATCTACCAAAGCGGTACAAAGGGCTGCATTAGTATTCCCCTCCCTAGGACACCCATGAATCTGTTACTTTCTCAGACCAGTAATGAGTCAGCTTCATGCCTCTCTCCCCATTTAGCTTTGAGGAATTTTGGGTGGGGCAGTCACCAGAGAGAGAGAGAGAGAGAGAGAGGGGAGACCGACTGAGTAAGCAAGCAAAAATGCACCATAAAACATAAGGCAATGAACTTGGAACATTTCTTGTTCACATAAAAGCAAGAGGTTTATGCCAGAATTCCTATACTTCAAAAACAAACAAACAAACAAAAATTAAAAAAAAAACCAACATAGTAACAACAAAGCACACAGCTCACTAGCACTAATCAATTACACAATTAAAAAACAACCAAAACCCCTCCAGTTTCACCCCAAATGTTTACAGCTTCAGCAATCGTATCATCAGGAGAAGGCAAAGATGAATGCAGACATTCACGCATCAGCCCAACCTCGTCCACCCAGCTGTGATTTAAAGGCTCAGGAGAAGCCTCCTTACCTTCTGGATTTTTTCTCGACCTTAATCCTACCACGCCCCAAGTGTCGGAGGCTCAGGCTAAGAGAGAATAAAGTAGATGGGTGTTGCGAACTCCCAATCCACACAGCAACTCACCCTGTTGTCTACAAGACCCCCTTCCACTCCACGCCTTGCACAGACATTCAGACAGTTAAAGATCTGCACCTTCTGGCTGACATCTCCAAACAGGCTTAAGAAACAAGAAATGCAGAGCTGGGGAGGAGGACAGCGTGAAGAGAAAGGGGAGGTCGTGAGTATGGACTAAGGTCCTGGCTTGGGAAGCCATAGAGCGAGATGGGGCAGCAAACTGCTGACACTTTTGTCGTGCAGCTTGCAGGCTCAGGAGCTCAGCCACGGAGCGTCTCAGCCCCAAGAGCCAAAGAGCATCCCTAAGGAATGCCTGGCCAGCTGAGGAGAAGACTGAACCAAGTGCAGCCCACACAGTCTGCAGGCAGGCTCACGCTTGGCCCAGCAGTGCTGACTTGATTGCTTCTGGTTCCACGTTTTATCTGGATGGGAACTTTCCATACCATCAACCAGCATAAGGAAGATCACAGTAAGGATGTCACCCTAAACACAGGCACACAGCACTGCCAAAGCAGCTGTCTTCAGTTCTGACATCGTTTGATGGACAGGAAGGTAACCCATCACGTCCAGCTCAGCCAAAGCCATTGAGCGTGGCTGGTTTATGCTGCCACATACAATTTAAAAGCCAGCAGTGGTACCTCCTGGTTCTCAGTGCTGCGGGCGGGGAGGAGGGCGCAGTCACTGTTTGCTCCTTCCCTGGTGAGAGCTGTACGAGTTGTAAACCCACTTGCTTGCTTTCAGGTGCTGAGGTGATGGAGCAGAGTCAATTCTTCACTCTGAATAATGGCAGGCGAGGCAGAGGTCACCAGCTTTACATCGCAGTTACATCATGTGGCTAATAGTCAATGATCCATATCCAAGACTAATGAAAGGAACTTATAATAGTCATATAAATAACGTAAACATAGAAATTAATATAATTTGATGCTCACAAAAAACATAAGGAACTTCAACTATCTGCCTATCCACAGATGGAGAACAGCAAAAATAAGTTTCTTAATCACATTAATGCCCTTGCTAACACCTTTCAAGCTTCTTCTTAGACAATGACTTCACAAGGTGATTTGAGCCAAATTTAATATTTCCCTGTTGCTGAAAAAAACAAGGGCTGTGGTTCTTCCTCCCATCTCTGCCCATGGTTCACAATCCAAACTCCTGCCACTTAACACAAGCCAGGCTGCATGCTTTTTTGATCACGCAGTGAGACAATTTAGTTTTATAAAATGGCTGAAAAGAAGTTTCTGGGGTATTGCTGGGTTAGCAAGTTGAATTACAAGAACTCAGGAGCTAAGACAATGTGTGGGGCATCACACAGAGAAGATGGAGCACCGCCTTGCTGTCCTACTAGCAGCAAGGTGCTAATTCGCCTCACTCAACTTGAGACAGTGCTCGGAGATAACGAACTCAACTACCAAACGAAAGTTGGTGTCTGTTATTTTAGTTTTTCCTCTTAATGTTTCAGAAAGGTATTCCAAACACTAGCAGTTATGATACAGTCAAAAATTTAAGAAGAATTGGGATGAAATAGCTTATTTGTCACACTTTGGCAAAGTCAGAGCTGAAAGAATGTTGGTGGAGGAGGTAATTTCTGAGAAGCATCAAATTTCAAATGTGATCTTAAATAGGTAGAAATTAAAAAAAAATAGGACAAAAGGTAAAAAAGAAAGGAAAAAAGTAAAAAGAGGGAAGGAAAAAAGGAAAAAACGGTGGTGAAGGGTGGGAGGAAAAAATAAAAAAGTGGGGGGAAGGGAAAACCACACCTAAAAGTAACTTCATTTTTTTCCCAGGGTACTCTACAAGTTCTTGTTTATCTGAGCAAGCCACAAATGTAAGCCTCTGTATCTGCACACCAATTACAGCCCAGTTACTGCGAATCCAGGTTCGCTATGAGTCAGCGCTCACTGTTAGCGTGAGGCTTGCCCAAACACAGCCTTCTGCTCTTCTTGCCTGGTGGAGAAAGAAACTATGCCTTATGCTGGAAGCTCCCCACCTCAGTCCAAAGTCCTGCTTTCCCAGCTCCTTGCCCAGTGTCTTTTTTTGAAAGCTTTACACCGCTTCTGGTGATCCTGTCCCACTCCCGTTGATTGCCCAGTGGCCGGCAGCTCTGGAGAGTGGACAACACGAGTCCTTGTCCAGGTCAAGATAAGGGCTGTGCTCGTCACAGCTGTGTTTAAATTCACTGCTGGTTTTACTATAGACAAAAACAGGGACCCCAGAGCCTCAAAATAATGTTGGAAGAAATCTAAAATTGCTAAAAGTAGAAAGAGATGCATGAAAACCTTTCTGCAGAATAGCTGGCTGTTACATTCAAGCAACTGCTTTTTAGTATCAACTCTCAGCTGACTGTTAACTGATGCTGGAAAACCGAGTTTAAGATGACAGGTATTTCAGGAGACCTACGTCACCCTTCATTTTCTTTTTCAATAAGGCTTTACAATTTGTAAAGAAAATTATCTCATTGGGGAGCTATACAAAAAACCCCTCACTGTTTCTAACCAGACGCTAGGTGCAGCAGTGAATAATTTCTTTGCAATGAAACTGAAACAGTACTTTTTTTTTTTTTTTAAAACTGGCGTCTTGTCAACTCAAAATCCTCACGGATTAACACTATGAAGTTCAGTTTCCACCTAACTACTCCTTTGGATTTCTTTGTAACATCATAAATGATCACCAAAGATGCTGGGTTTGTGCAGGATTGCAGTACCCAACATCTCTTTGTCTTCATTCTCCTACCAGACTAGCTTGGCTTCTGCCACGAACACTAAAGCTTCACCAAACGTACAAGCCAAATGCTACTGAACTTCGAAATGTAAAATAACTTCTGAACTGGTTATTAAGCACCATTATCCATCTATGAAAATGCACGCTTCCATGCTCCCATTCAGACTAGGGCATAGGGCATCTAAGCACAAATTTTCTGTCCCTCCTCTCTCACCCCCTCAAACTGTCTCAGTGCAGCCGCTTCTCCAATCCCATGAAAACAATGCCAGAACAGGTGAACCACAAAAAGGCGGTTTGATTAACCATCATTTTTCTAAATTAAACTGGCCAGACATGGTAAAGTTAAAAAAAAAATTAGTAATAATAATAAAAAAAGTGTTTTCAGGAAGTTACATAATCCAATTCGTTCCTCCTTCCTATGCACCTTATAACCATAATTAGTCACATTAATAAGCTACATAAAGAGTAGCAAATTGTACCATCTGACAGGTAGGCCTAGAATTCATCCTGCACAAAACACTATCCCCTGTATTTTTCAGAGAAAAAAACCCAACAATTCAATATTCCCTTTAGAGATAAAACTTCATTCAAAGCCAAATGGTCCAATTTATTTTCTTAATCATCCTTTACTTCGACGGTTAATCATTTAAAATCCCATAACATTAGCAACAAACTGACCATATAAATTGCCATCGCAATTTTTCCATGGAAAAGTGGTTTTAAAGAAGAGGGTGATAAGGCAGGTCTGCCTATTCATTATAAAAAAAATTACAGCGTGAGCACTAATGTAACTAAAGAGCTGGTTGTTAACCATCTTTAAGCAGGGTTTCATGTGAAACAGATGCTGTTCCTATAGTTTTCTGCAGGTCATAATTTATACTACAAGTAAGTAATCACCAATGTGCGATAGCTGTGGTTTTGAAGGGCTAAAGCCTCATCCTAGATGGAAAAACCTACCAGTGCTCATCATTCTGCAGATAGATCCCTAAAAACTAATTGCTTCAGTTTCAGGAACCTACTGCTAATTTCTGTTAGCTTAGGAGGAAAGAGAAGCTTAACCTATGACAGTCATAAAACAGTACTGAAAAACTGGTAACTTTAAAAAGCAACCAAACAAATCCTGCATATTAAGCAGCCATTTCTCAGTAATGTTGAGTCACAAATGATGGAGGTTTCAGTTTCGTTTTGCTGTGAACTTTGGTCTTACGAATAATTTAATGTGCAATTAGTACAGTCTCTATAATGTCTGATCCTCTCTCAAAGGCATAATGTGGAAGTGACGGAAAAGACTGGTACAGACTTCAAAGTGCAAAATAACTCATTTCACTGTTGAGACCAAACACGTCCCATTAAAAAAAAAAAAAATCAAGCAGGCAACTTCAAAGAAAAGAGAAAAAAAAAAAAGCAGCTGAAAAATAGAGAAGGTGGGAAATTTCAGTTACAATTAGCCCCATTTCAGAGGCAGCCTACAGCAAGCCATGCTTGAACCGGGTCTCTTCCACGGCAGTCTTGCAGTTCAAGTGGGCAGCTGCGGCCACAGCCGATGCTTGGCTGCAGCGGGCAGGGAGGTGATGAGGGGCTCCTTCCCCGATGTCCTCTCCTCACCTCTTGTGGGGTGCCTTTGCATCCCTGGGCCCCGAATTCTGCCCCACTTGAGTCAGACTGGATAGCTCCCTGCCAGAACCCGGGGGCTGAGCTGCCAGCACCGCCCGCCTTGCATCCTGAGCAGCAGCTTTCAGCAGCGGTGCTGGTCCCTGCCCGGCCTGGGCTCTTCCACTTTCCTTTCCAAGGAAATCAACGGCATGCACAGTAGCTAGCGGGATGGGATGGATGAGTGTGAAAGAGATAATTAGTTAACATCTCCTTCATAATAATAATCTCTGCAAAGTGGCAGCGCTGGTTTTCTAAGGGCTTTGCCTTTAAAGAAAACCAGATTGCTTGAACTACAATGGATGATGGGAACAATACCGTATTTGTCTGCCTCCAAAGTATCCCAGAAACCCTTGGACACCATCAGTTACAAGGATTACAGATTTTCAGTCTCTGGCAGCAATTTGCAAACCCTTCTCATGTGACCAGCAACAAAAAAATGTTAACAAAAGCATTCACAAAAGTGGAGTTTCACAATTACTCATGCAAGTAAAAATTCACACACGATATATTACAGTGAATATGGATTCATAAAAATGATCCACTAGGAAAAATTCACACAGTCGCATTAAGTGGTACTTAAGTAACACTCTGAGGAAATGCCAGTTGCAGTGTGAATAATTAATATGAATAGCAAGTGAATAGTTGGCAAGAGGTCTCAACTTGAAATAATGTTTAAGTATGTAAAACCTTCTTGAATAATCAGCTAACTTATTTGTAGGGTCACAGTCTGTTCACAGATAATTCACTACTAAGAAAAAAAAAGGAGCCATTTTTATCAGATAAAAACATTTACTGAGAACAACTCATGTCAATTCAGTCTGTGAACTGTTCCTCATGTCAAGTTTTGTTGTGTTTTTGTTTTACTTTTGGTGGTAAAAGATTGTGTCAGAGATGTCAAAAGCATGACTGAAACCAGCAAGCTGTCTCCAGGCCTGGAGACAGGCCAGGTGTGGAGTCTAATGGCTGAAAGAAGACACAGAAACAGATCGTCTCTCTGTGAAGTATCCACCCGACCTTTCAGATTTGTTCTGCAAAAATGCTTCAAATATATGCATTCAGTGAGGGGTTGTTTTTTAAAAAATGTGACATATCTTTGAGCTTTCCTCTTGAGAATTGTTTTCTCTTTGGGGCTACCTTTTCTAAGAGAATTTGCACAGATTTTCTGTATTTTAGGTGTTAATCATTATTAGAGATCCAAGACAAATACTATGCTGAGCATACTTGCACCAGTAAGTCACGCTAACATGTACATTTTATCGCTAGTTGTATACCCTCAGGAAGCTAAGAGCAGTACATTTACTCAAGTTGCATATTCTTGCTTTTCGGTATGTACGTTTACTTAGGTGTGTACCAACTGTTAAATAAGAGCAAACAAATTCAACGAAGAGCAAAGACAAATCTTGGTGCTGTGAGCAGGACTCTGTCTTAATCTATGTTGATGGATGAAACTTCACCATTATCAGTTGTGCAGCTGGGATTGCAAGCCACCTACTAACACTATTAATGTAATGTTCTCTGTCTTGTACAGAATTAACAGCATTCAATACTATTATATTTTTGTTTCCTGTTGTTTTTTGTCTTTAAGTCTTTTTCTACCATTAGCCACAGCCATCTTGGTGCAAAAGCATGGCACAACAATGCTTTTATTGCCAACCTGTGAGGGTGATATCATCATCTTCTATGATTTGCTCTTCTGCGACATCCAGAGAGCTCTCAGTGATCATGTCACTAGGTTCATCCACGCAGGTTAAGCCGGAGTAGTTATGTAGGAGGTCTGCACTAGGAACATGCTCCACGATGACAGCAGGGAAAATAGATGGATCACCAAGCTAGAGGGTGGAAAAAAGAAAATTAAAATAATGGTAGTTGGATGACATCCAATCTAACCACTTACTGATTGATACTTCAACAGACCTATACTACATCAGTTGAGTATTAGACCATCAGGAGGGAGTACCAAAGAACGAGATGGTTTTTAGCACATAAAACCAAGTAGCAGCAGTGTCCCACTATGGGACAGAGGCTTACTATCACTGTAGTATTTAATATATTGACTTTACTCCAGTAGGTAATACCAGACTCCCATGACATTATTTTGCAGCATAAAAGCTGACAATACAGAGGAGTGGCACAGTGCAGTAAATGCTACACTTTGCTGGCAATAATACTGGGCAAGTAACTCGCTGCAAGCACCTTAATCTTTTGCTCTTCCCATCAAGCTGGGGTGGAGGAGCCCTGTGGCCATCAGGACTGGACAAAGCTCTCTCAGGCACCACGTTTCCCATGAGACACTACTTGAAGATCACTATTTTAGGGGACACTTGCTACAAGAGCAAGGGGTGTAACAGCGAGTGCTTGATCTACCTGCCGTAATGCTTTCCCTCTCTAATTCTTATGGCTTTAGTCACTTGACATTACTTGCCCTCTGCTTTCCTTCCTAAGTCTGCTTTCAGACATCATCCTTCTGTCTCAATAGTTGTTTTGTATCAGATACAGAAGAAAAGAGGCAGCTAGGAAAACAGAAATCAAGCTGATGGGTAATAAGATGCACACTCTCTGAAAAGGCAACCATTCAACAGGAAGAGGTTTTCAGACAATACCATTTACTACAGACACAGTATTCTCCAAAGTGAGTCTTTTAAAATGTCATTTGCAGGAAGAAAGTCATAGCTGATGATAGCACAGCAGGCTAAAGGAAAGTCTAGTGTAACTCTAAGGTTCTCTCACTATAAAAATAAATGACATCATGAATATGACAAGCTTAAAAACAAGAAAACAAACAAAAAAGTTGCTAAAGAGAAAAACAGTGTATGTACATTTGGTCTCACCCTTCACAGAACAGCACAGATACGCACAGATCAAGCAGGTTTTTTATTTAACCACACAAGAAAAAAACCAACCATATGATTATGAGCTTGCTTAGGGATTGCTCATGTCTCACAGCGTTGCCACTATGCTCACCACCACAATAGAAAACAGTATTGGAGCTATTGTCTCAACACAGACAACGGCTATGGGAGTCAGCCTCTCCTAGGGAAGAGTCTGGAATGTAAGTACTGAAAGTAGAAAGTGCAATTAGAAGTTTTAAAAGACAGTAATTACCACTTTAAATTGCTTTGTCTTTTGTAAAATATGTCTCAGCAACAACAGTGGTAAAGAGCAATCAGGAAAAAAGAAAGAATTAAGAACAAAACTAGTATTTCTATGGGCTTCTATCAGGGACAGTCTGCTAAACAAAAAAAAAACCAACACATAACCTACCACTCTACCAAACACAAGCTTCAAAATAGAATAACATGGCAGGAGATCAATCAAATGAACAAAGGGCAGACCAGTTAAAGCCCTCTCATGCAATCATGTTGCCAGATGACAGGCATATATTGAGTCAAGCAATGGGACAGCTCCTATCCTACACCTTTGTGGCCACCTCTATCCAAGGCAGCATCTTGCCAGGGCTGAGAAACCAGGAATCACTTGTGGCCAAGAGGTCCCCACTGTTCCTCAGAAAGAAATCATGTTCACATTGTGCATCCTGTTTGTTAACTGACCCCAACATCCCTGATCCTATTTGCTTCCAGGCAAGAATAAACAAATAGCTTCGATTAAATAAAAGTCACCTCAATAAAAAAGATAAAGCACTACACAGAGAAGAAAAATAAAATATGCATTAAAAAAAAGTTTTTATTTTCAACAATATGTTCCATAAACTAGAAGGAAGATGGTCTATTACAGCCTCATTACTGAGACACAATTCATGCTCTAAGAATAGTTCAAATACCTCAATTTCAGTAATATGCCACAGTATGTAACTTTTGAGATGTAAGTTACATACACTGTACACCCACATATGTAACTACATTTAAAAAAAAAAAAAATTACATACAACACTCCACTCAGGCTCCTGTTACCTGCAAGTAAGAAGAGTACAGGCTTTGCAAGTACCTGTTCAGTATCCTACTGACCATGTAAAAACTATGGATTTTAGGGAAGATGCAAGTAAGAAGACTTCAGTCTTCTCATCCTGCTCTAGTTCATAGATGCTAAGGGTGAAGTTCATCTCACCTAACTTCAGACAGCTGTGGTGCAGGCACCTGGACTTGAGCTAGGAACCCCAGGTTTCCTTCAGCACCAACAGAGAGAAATGAGTATTTCTAGGGCACAATTTCCTTGCCCGGTTTTAGGCTCATGTGCTACAATAGGACGAATCATGCCCTAAAAACGCCTATTCCTCTCCACTGACTCTAAAAGGGTGGAGGCGTTGAGGTGTCTGTTTCTGATGTAGGCATCCATCTCCTACTCACCCATTGGCAAAGGGCCAGCTGCCTCCCTGCCACATCTTCGAAGGGAGGCACTCCTTCCTGCTTCCATCGCTGCACCAGGTCGATAGTTGTAGCGTCTGCAGCAACATATCGAGTTGCCCGCGCTTAGGATAAGCCTCACGTTAGCTTCTTCTGGATAAAAAAATTACTCTGGCTTGGCACCATTATTCTCTAATAACTGAGGCTCATGTCACTGACTTGGCCTTTGAGAGGCAAAACTACCTCCAGCACTGCTGTTAGTCTTTAGTGGGGACAAGTCATAAAAAAACCATTTCAGAATAATAAATGAAACACAGATAAAACCAACCAATTGTCACACATTTTCAGTTCACTTTCTCAAAGTCCTATTTATATTACACCCTACACAACACCCTGCTGTGAAACGTAATTACAAAAGCCCAAGCATCCATGTGTTACTGAAACACGCTTCACTGCTGACTGAAATATTTCCCATGCTACTAACAGTGCTGCTGGCACCCACTTCAGCAGCAGTTGGTTTGAGCTGTATGATCAGATGTGATCTGGTCTGCAAGGTTAAACTGTATTTTGACCATGTCTAGAAACAACCGTCATACACATACTGTGTGACACAGTCACTGTATCTGTCTACAGGCAGAGAAACCTTCATGGCAGGAGAACCCTTTGTTGCTTGAACTCAGCACAGGACCGTCCGAGGAGCTTGCTGACACACTATGCTTCCGAAAGAGACGAGATGAACAGAAAAGCATTCACTTGTGGTAAGACACTTTAAATGTTGTTTTCTTTAAATTACTAACAGTTTTGAACTGGAAGAGTCAGAGTAAATATCACTTCTTGTGGCCTTTTATTTCAGAACGATTGTTATATGCTTCCAACTCATACCTTACAGAGGTACAACGTATGCATTTTCTTTCCTGATATGGCTGTGAAAAGGAAAGGCTGGAACAAATATATAATATGCTTTCAGAGAGAAAAGCATTCATGCAAGTGCAAATAAATTTAATTCAAAATGCATTTTTGTGGAAACTGTCATCACCTTTTTGTACAATATTTGCAATCGGTTCTGATTTCATTAACAAGCATCTCATTCTGTTTTAAAAGCTACTACTAATATATGCTGATGTACAGATGAGAAGTATATATGATATATATATGTTGACAGGTAAAAATCTCACCTCAGTACTGCTATAATATTCTTGATTTCATTGAAAGCACCTGAATCCCAATTGAGAGGTAAGCTAAAGCTTCCTGTAGCTCTGTTGTTGTAAGACACAGGAATAACTTTGTACACATTTAGAACTGCAGAAGAGCCCGTCCATGTTTACTACAGCGCCCTTTGATGCTGCTGTGTAATGGGAATTACACACAGGGAAAACATTAAGGACCTAAAGGTAGTGATTCAATTAGGACAAATTAAATTACCTCTCTAATAGCAAGATCACAAAATAATTTATTTCTAATACAAAGGTGGTTCTACAGGCACTAACAAAAAGGAAGGGTGCAAAGTATCCCAAAATGAAAAAACAGTCCCAAATTAAAGTGTCAGCAATGATTTTTCAAGAAATCAATACATAAAGCCCTAGAAGAACAATTTGTGTATTTTTTTCCTTTTGCTGACTTCTGCTGCTTCATCTTTCTCATGTAAAATATAGTTAAAATATGACACCCTAGCTCTACCAAAGCTTTGGCTTGGCTTCAAAGTATCTCCCATGTCTGTTGGACAGTTGAGTTGAGCTACTACTTAAATCTTCCCAGGTCTTAGACACCAAATTCCTTATTGTAGTTTATCTACAAACCAGTCCTGTAGACTGACCTTTAACAATTTGGAGGAGTGCAAAGCTTCAGACAGATGCTGAAGTCCATGGAAGGTCCCTGAAAGCATCAGTCATACTCCATGATCCCCTGAAAACTGAATCCTGCCTTCCTCGAAATGCCAAAGGCAACAATCATCCTTCCTGCTCTCATATTTTTCTTGGGTGTCTGACATGCTGACAAGGTGTTTCTTTTTTTTCTCTGAGAATTTTCTCATCAGCTGTCACCAACTGACAGAAGATCAAAACACAATCCTGGTTGTGGAAATGGAAAATAAGGAAGGGGATCTCTTCTGCTCTGGAGGTACTGTCTTCTCATACTACAAGTCCTCCAAGGAAGAAAACTTGTCCCAGGAATATGGTGACTAATTTCTACCTGGTGTAGAATAAATTTTATGTGAGTTATGGGTGGGAAGAAAGGCATGCAATAGATAGGAGCAGGGAAAAGCTACATTGGCGGAGGGGGGGGGGGCAGGGAGAGAAAGAAACCTCAGTGAAAAAAAAAAAAGGCTCTTTAACAGACGAACAGAATTCAAACTTGCAATACAGTTGGTTATTTATTACAAAAAACAAAACAAAACAAAACAAAAAACCAACTAAACAAAACTAGGCAAAGTGACCCTGGTGACTAGGAAATGGACTTCAGTTTCCCCTTGGTGAAGGTTCCTGTGCCAAGAGCAGAGGCAACCTCTTGATTTTAAATCATTCCCATGGCCAGCATCTGAGAAATGACCAAGTTTCACAGAGAGATACTGGAGGCAGATAAATGCTGCTTGCTTTCCTGGGGAGACAACCTCATTATGGATCTCACAATCACTTCCTTAAAGACTTCATAAAACTGCAAGTTTATAAGAGGGAGACTTTCTGCAGGAGCTAGAAATAGCCAAAAAATGTAGACCTTGGCCTTGACCAGGTGACTTAATGTTTCAGAACGCCCATGGCAACACCAGGGAACATTGAGCAAACCAAGGCATGAGAAGATGGCGCAGAAGTCATGGCCCAACCTAAGAGCTTTGACCCCTCTTCCTCAGAGGAAGGGAAGAGAAACATCCCTCAGAGGTACAGAAGGTGTCTTCAGGCACAGGTTACTACACGTCGAAGCCACTTGAGAGAGCAGCTGCTGGCATGGAGCGGTCATGCTGGGGACCATGCTAGCAACCTAATGGTTGTGATGATTCAGCGTGTCCCTGGCACCATTTAAAACTTCTTAGTATGGATCCAGCCTCTATGGCTGCTTTTATTCAGCTTTGTAAATTAAGAATGTCCTGATCAAATATCAAGTTAACTGTAAGTTAATGAAGGACTAAATGAAAAGACATTGAGAGGAGAAGCTGTAGACAGGAAGAAAAGCAGTTTCAGGCAGCAACACTGACTCAGCCAAAGCTTGTAGGAGATCCTGCCCAGTTTTTCATGTGCAGTCTCTTTCTAACTCTCTCTCTCTCTCAAGCAAACTCTCTATTTAATCAGGATCTCTGACATGTACCATCAGCCAGACAGGTTAACAGTAGCATTGGTGCAAGCCACTTCAAAATTATGAGGATATTTGCATCCCATTTCTTCCTTACCATACAAGCACAATGCGATAAATGAAACCTCCAAGAACAAAAAAATTCATTATTTTCTAAACTGAAAAGGATAAAGCTGATAAGAGAGCCCTTCCCGTTCACACGGGGCCACATGACCGAGTTTGTCCCACTGGCGTCTGCCCCTGGCTGAATGCTTACATTTGCAAATGGACTGGTCATAATTTACAGTTGCTTAACCAAGACTTTAAAAAAAAAATTAAAAAAAAAATAGCCATGAATTACGACTTCCGTGAAATACTGAGCATAGCTGCCATCTAGACCCCAAATGTCCCTCCACAGCTGTTCCATGTCCTCACAGCTCTTGGCACAACAGGGCTCCAGGCAAAGACTTGACAAGAGAAAAGTAGCCAAGTTCTTCCAATGCCAGCTTTCGGGGGCATCACAAAAGTAATTATCCAAACATCAGTTAAAGGACACCTGTGTATAAATATGTCAACTTTTATATACTGATGAAGCTCAAAAAACGCTTTTGACCAACACAGAGCACTTCAAAGCACATAAATTGTGTTGTCCATCCCTAAATACAACTAATCTGCCCAGAATTTAAAAATTGCAGGGCTAGCAATAGCAATAGCTCCTATGTTGTAAGAAGCAATCAACCAGGTATAAGCAATATGTAACCTTTTTGGGTTAACGTTGTACTACAAATCCTTGTCTGAGCTAAATCTTCTCCAGCTTCCCAGATCTTTCCTTATGCAGGACTGCTTTTCTACAACTGAGTATTTAAGATCTACCTTCATGCAGCCAGCTAGCTGGCTACCTGCATCTTTGATATCTGAACTAAGTCAACCCAGTGATTTAAGAGGAGCTTGCATCTGACTATTTGCAGCAATGAACCTTCTGCTATACACTCTCTCTCTTTGGCCTTTCACATCTTCCATTTCATCACCTTTAGGGTATGCTACAGGACACCTTCTTTCCTTAGGCTTCATCTGGAGTAGGATTTATTGGGGTTATGAGATAAACGCCAAGGTTGAGTTTGTTCTGGAGTTGGAGAAAGCTCTGTTTAGGGAGCTGTTTTACTGCCCTGTTGAGTACTTTTTAGTTTTTTTTTTAAGTTTTTCAGGTGAGCATCTGAAGAAATTGCAAGAGGCAGAAAGCAAAGCTAAACTGAACAAAACCACATTTGCTTGCACTGCCCCTCCCAGAAACCACACTGAAGAAGCCCTCCTCATCTCAAATCTCCCCTCTCCCATTGGCTTGTAAAGTAAAGCCAGCAACGAACAACAAACAGAGGTAATAAATAAGGCCGGTTTTCGACTATGTTTGTGCAATTCCCATATCTAAATCCCCAAGCTACCACAAGCTCTGGAAAAATACAGGGAAGGAAGTTACATTACTAGTTCCACCCAAAACTGAGTTAGCACTTTAGACAGACAACACTCAGTTCATTGAAATGATCGCATGACTCTGACAGCAGAAACGGGCCACTGACCCAGCCAGATATTAGGCCATACAGAAACTCAGAGACAAGATTATAAAGCCAAAAATATTTTTGAAAGAGAGGAGAATAAATGCTTTTCACATTCACAAAGAGAGGAACAGTTTGTCGTAGCACTTCTCAGCCTTTTAAGAACTGTCTCTCCACAGTACTCAGACACCTAATTTCTTGTTAATAAATGCAAACCCCTACTATTAACCACCACCTATAGAGGAGTTGCCCGAGTTTTACAATAGGAATCCTTCACTGAAGCCTGAGGACTCACAGGATGTGGTTTAGATAATCAACACCTAACTGAGAGCCTGCTCAGATAGAAACACATATTTTCCCTGCAGTGTGAAAGAAACCAATTTAAATAACTTTGAAACTGTGAGCGCTGGCATACAGAAACACAATTTTTAAACCAATCTGTAAAAAGCAGTGAGTAGGTACCTACTGCTCCTTCCAGTCATCTGTAGCATGACTATTACTTCTATTCAGAATTTTGTCCTAGCACACTAGGAAAGTTTAAACTACCGTCAAATACCAGAATTTGGGGAACTGTGTATCACAAATGGATGGATTCTACTGGCACAACTCAGCAACCCAGGAAAAACATTTTCAGAGGCGGATGTGTCTGCAATACTGCAGAAGTTGTAACATTTCAACCAATTTCTATTCCGCCCATGCAAGTTAGAGGAAGCAACAGGAAGTTTTTGAAACAGCGCAAAGATCTGCTGCAACAATCATGACCTCAATGTTTGCTTTTTTAGTGTTTTACACCACATTTTTTCCTCATGTTTTCATAATATTCCTAGCACCAACTTGCACGAATACAGTTTCTTACACTGTCCCATACCTGCTGCTCATCCTCCATGACGTTGCTGGCAAATTCAAACACAAGCTCATTCTGCTGTACAACTGCTGCCATAATAACGCATTCCCAGGTCTCAGCTCCACATACAAAGAAAAATGTCCTCGAATGTGAAAGAACAGAGAGTCACCAAGGTCCAGCTGCGCAGAAAGGCAGGATCACGAAATGAATCAAGTATCAGTGTTAGTACTTCTTAGATCATCAGTGTTCCCAGGTTCTTCTGTTCTCAAAGGGAAACAAACCAAGGGAAATCCTTTCCTGAGTTGTTCTTCCCACCTCGATAGCCGTTATCACTGTGGAGGGAAAAAAAACAACTTGTAATGAAGAAATGATTGCTTTAGCTATGTGAAATAGTAGCAGTTACAATAAAGCTTGCTCCGAATGATAACTGTTCTATCTAACTCCAAGGAAGTCAAGGCACCTTTGTATCTTCAGAAGTATTACTTTCACTGATTAATACATCTGAATTTTCATTCACTTAAAAAGAAAACTGTTTCAGGAAGTAAGACATCAAAGTGTTTCATATTAAAAGCATAAGACTAAGAAAAACTTACAAAAGTTAACAAAAAGAAAATCCATCTTTTCATTTGATTCATATATGTAGTTTTCATGTCCATTAGTAACCCTTATCTTTAAGGTACATTCAAAGTGAAAATACGAAACTCAGACTGACCTACTCAGCTGTAGGGTATCTCCAGTATATCACCTTTCTTCTTCACACACAATTAAAATTTAGCAAAGTTGTTATTTTGCAAGTAAAATGTTCTAGATCTTGATTCCCACAGTGTCAAACAGATGAAACCAGTAAATAAAATCTTTGTATAATCCAGAGAGTCCCCGAGTTCCTACACGAAGCAGATCTTCAGCTTCTTGTTAAAAATGCACTGTAAACGTATCCTTATCTCTACCACAGGCTCACAAGCAGCCGGAAGGAAACAGCATTGACCACGTCACGGCAAATTAGTACAGGCAAAAAAAAACTGCACAGTACAATAGCAAAGAAAAAAAAATAATATCCCAAACTATGGAACGTAAACAGCTTCACTGGAGGGATGCACGCTTACAGCTCCCACATTTTCACTTACTCATCAGCACCAAAGGTAAACATTGTTAACGTGAGCTTACAAAGAGGTGTGCTGTATTACTTCTGGGGAAAAAGGCAAGCACAAAACATAATTTTTTTATACAATTAAGGTGACCAACACATTAGTGAAAAAAAAAATCTACTGTTTCAAAAGAATAACAGAAACAGGTGTCTAAAATTAGGAACCTAAGGGAGTATGTTGGTGCCTAGCAACTGAAATGCATATGTTTTTAAGGAAGTGAAATGTGTGGTGTCCAGCGTTTTGATGAAAATTCTTTAAACTGCCTTTGATTAAGGGCTGCTGTGACAGAAAAATAAGGGGCAGAGGTCTAACATGTACCGATCCAGACTGAGACTCCCAGGAAAGCCTCTGGGTGACTTCAGCGCCATCGGTGAGGATTAACATCTACCATTGTACAGGAGGTTTAACTTCGCCTTGTTTTTGCAGTAGACTGAAACTCGAAAAAATGAAGGGCATCTTCCTCTCCCCCAGTGCCAGGCAATTTAATTAGGGAGGATCATGTCACAGGCTCATACTCCCTCACTCTAGGAAATGTAACAGCTGTTTTTTCCCATATAGATTGTGGTATTCCCAAATTCCTAAGCAGTGATGGCAGAGCATTCAAGCATTTAAGTCACTAGATCCTACCCTTCTAAGAAATCAGGAAACCCAAGATTATGCAAAAAGGAGAACCTCCCCAACTTCCAAAGTGTGCTTTAATTAGTTGTTAAAGGGTTCATAAGAGCAGCCACAATCCTAACCGGAGAATATTTGCATTAATGAAAGCTACATGCATGAACAGAGAAGGATGTGCTTTGGGAATCATGACTGTTCAACCTCAGCCCTTGCCATTTTGCAGGATGACTTTCTCCGTACTTCAGCAGGGCTATGGCACTGAAAGCATTACATGCAATCATATAATCCTGGGTAACTTCCCTAAATATAATTATTTGGTCTTGCCTTTTAGAAGAAGAATGCCATTAAGAAGTTACATATACATGCCAGCACAGTGGGAGGGACTAAGACGAACTTGTCCCATCCCAGACTCCTACCATCTTGTATGCCAGCCTGAAAATAAAGTATATAGCCATACAATATATAGTTTAATATTTCCTACTGACGGTGATTGAAGCAGGTCAATCTATGTCAACAGGGACATACCAGCTGTTTCAAAAGAGAGGCCAAGTATGGAAATTTATTGAAGTACAACTTCTATTTTGGTTACTGCCTAGAAATAAATTGTAACTCTCCAATAAAATAAAGTAATATTTTAATCAGTCCCTCTAATCAGTGAAGAGTAACTTCACTACAAAGGATCACTGGGCAAAGACGAGAACCTCCTCAGCTTCCAAATCGCGACTTCTTTTAAAATGGGGGTTAAGCTAATTGTCCAGGGAGAACCAGAGCCAGAATACAGCAACGGCTTATAATCATCTGCGTTACACTAATGGAAGCCACATGTATGAACAAAAAGGACAAGTTCTTAAGGTCCAATAACTTTCTAAGGTCAGTAACAATTAACAGCGTCTATGTAAAATCAGGACAAATGAAGTGTTGGAGATGCAGGGTACCTAGTAAGCCCACGAAGTATAAGGAAAACTGGAGGTAGAGCCACCATAAAACAGATTTTAGAAGTTCCCTGCATGCATTGGGAACCGGCATATTCTTCCATTAGTGTCAGGTCATTCTTTATTCTGTTAAACATTAATATTTTACAGTAGATACTACAATACCAAGATGCACACTAAATGCATAAGATCCAAAAGCTGTGGCAGCAAACATACTAAAAGCCATAAAGAAATATTTTCTTACTTTTTATTAAAAAAAAACAAACCAACAACAAAACCCTCAATGCAAAACTAATCATCATCATTTAATATAAGAGACGGCAGCAGCATAACATATTTGATCCCAAAGGGATTCACAGTAACACGACTTAGAACAGTCACACTTTATGGTAACATGAAGTTCCTAACCATCTGATACCATTGCAGGGACAGACATTCAAAAGCTGTTTTACGAATTCTGCAGCACAGTGATGCAGTGATGTAAGACTGTATCACACACTGTTCCTTCCCCTCTACACCCCTTTCCCCAAACCACTACGGAATCTTCGAATAAAGTCAAGTGATACCTTCTTTTCACAAGAAAAGAAACATCTAACCACAGCATTACGACCAAAGTCAAGGACAAGCATGTGAACACTTAGTGAGCTTTTATATCTAACCTTATAAAGTTGAGCCACTCAAACTATTATTATTTACAGGAAACTTTTCGGTGCTTCTTTAGCGGTATGCAGTAGTAGCAAATGAACTATTAGTCAATAACAGCATGGCAAAATAATGTGAAAGTACTTTCCTTTAACCTATATCACTTTCTCTGGCATACAGAAAACAAGAGCAGCTTTTCACAGAAGCCTGCACAATTCTAAACCAAGCTATATTTTCCTCCACATCTATTTTTATAAACTGTGCTTTCATTATTCCAAGTATCACAGGATCCTGCTGTCTATAAGCTAACACAAACATGACTATTGTTTTTGCTATATAATGCTACTTATCTCCCTGCCTGATTTTACGTACATCTGTGAGTAGAAAATAAGTTATTTGCAAACAGTGTAAAATGCATAAATTGTATTCACATGCACAATAAGCTTGACTACATACAGACAGCCCTAGGAGAAAGGGATCCCAGTATATATTACCATAAAATTTACATTGATTTTCAGAACTATAGAATAAGTAAGGTTTTGCTTTCATTTTTCCTAATTGTTGTAGAAACATACTATAAAAAGCAATATCAAGACACAGCAATATAAACATATATCTTAATTTTGCTTAATCCTTGAAACTGAACATGCAAATAAATTATTTCATTCTCCGGAAATTTCTCTCCTCTACTGATGTCAACATCTAGAAACAACCTCCTCAATCAGTCTGTCAAAAAGCACATTCAGCCAATTCAATCCTTAGTACACTGCTGCTCTGGTATTCCAGAACATACATTGCAGGACTCCTCCCAGCCAAACATCACAGCTTTTTTCCTCTGCCACTCTTCACCATATATACCCTGCACTTAATCCTAGCCCTATTTAGCCAGTTCAACAAAGCTCATAAGAAATACCTCCAGAACCCATGTTTTTGATCCCAACGGTGAAGCTGCAATACTGCAACTAGGCTCCAACTTGGAAGTAACAAATACACAATTTCTCCTTCAACTCCTGACAATATGAGCCGGTATAGTCCATACTGCCTTAGCACTCCAGCACTGTAATGCAGAACACTGAAATAACACAGTGGCACCATGCTGGAGCAGGTGTAGCAGGCATCAAAGTGCCAGGCACAAACCCAAAAATTTGCTGAAGAAGCTCAGCTATAAACTTGGAAGGCTCAAGGCTTGGTACTGAGAGCACCCCAGCTGAGCTGAAAGATGCCTCCACCAAGATACTGGATCCAATCATAGAATCATTCGGGCTGGAAGGGA